TGTCTCTCTGTCTGTTAACCACGTTTTCTGCGACTACGCGCAACGAGACAACAACACAACGATAGCTACCAACGGGTTCATCGCTACACTGGGAAAAAGAGCGATTTTCGTATAACTACTGCGTTAAAAAGTGATAGCGTGAAAAGCAAGTGAACAGGCCAATATGCAAATTAGCACAGGCTTACCTCGACTGCGTCCGTTCGCTCTGTGTAGCTATCTTGAAAGCACAAGAAGTCACAACAAAGGGCGTGTATCGATTCCAGCATGCTTACTATTACGTGGATAGAACGGCACCGCGTATATACTAAATGAAAGGGGCGTAGTCATGCGTGCGCGTAACACCCGAATGGATCATGATCGGAGCCGGACCTCGTCTAGGGCTAGGGCTAGGGCATCGAAAGACTTAACCAATCGATGCCCTAGTCCTAGCCCTAGACGAAGTCCGGCTCCGATCATGATGCATCCGGGCGGCTAGCATCCTATTGACGAGGTCCGGCTCCGATCATGATCCATCCGGGCGGCAAGCAAAGTAAGGTGCGAATAACACTCGTCTACTATGATAGCATGATACGTGGCACGCGGGTTATATACGCGCACGTATGCCCACGCCCCTTTCATTTGTACGCGTGCTTCTACTGATCCCCCGCAGCTCCCGCAGCTATGCGGGAGACCACTGCGCAGTTCGCTGAGGGTTTGCACTTGTAGTGCTTTTCACTCGGCTTTTCATCATACCATAGATACTAGTATAATTATAGCTACTTCCAGCAGCTGCCGATGGACAGAACAGGAAGCCACACGCATTCTACAAGCGCTCAACGAGCCTCGCCTTCGCGCGCGCACGCCCAGAAACGCGCACTCGAAATTCTGCGATCTTATTGGTGTGACTAAATTAACTAGTAGGCGAATGCATAGCATTTTTGGCGAGCGGAAGCGAGATTACCAATGGTGTGGAGCCCAAATTATCAGGGGTGGAGCCTACTGAGGGGTGGGCGACGTACCGACGACGTATACGGTGACATGCGCTGTTCGGCGACGCTCGACAACGTACGGTTACAAATCGCGCCGTTCGGACCACTAGGTTAGCTCGCTTCCGCTCGCCAATTAGCCAGGATCGACCCGTCCGTCACAGGCATAAAATCGAGCGCAGGCACCGTCGATTCCATTATCAAACCGGCTTGAACCAGTCATTGCGAAGTAAAAACAGCCAGGTTCCAATAATGTTGCGCTCAGTTGCTTTGGTGGTCATCGTCGGAACACTTGTTGGATTATCTGAGAGCAAAATCCACCCTCGCTCAGCCTACAGAGAAGTAGCGAAAAAGCTCGAACTCCACAGACGCCAAACACCCGAGCAAGATGCATGCGTGGACGCCAAAATCGAACAAAAGCTCAACAATAATTCTACATGCGTCCAACGCGCAGCCGAGTTAGAGTCCGTGGTCGATGCCTTACTTGCAGACACGGAGGACGATCAGTCGGCCGTTAATCTCGCATTTCAAATCTTGTGCTTGCCCGAGTGCGGACCCGTATTTCTGGAGGCGGAAGACGAGTGCGGATTGTACGACGATTCGCCGGGGTCGCGCAACTTTTTTGTCGGGCTCTGCGGCAACAACGAAGGAACTCCGTGTTATGAGTACTTTGATAGAGCTCTTGAGTTCTCAGTGAATGTATCAATCTCATGCTACTACAGTACGGTAAGCTCCGGATCTTCGTGCCAATAGCTAGTGATACTATATTATTGGTCTCTTATGTTCTGGAGCATTAAATTTTGACGTTCTGGCGCTCCGAACCCAGGATCGTTACCTTGGAGAGAGAGCGGGGCAATGCATGCCCACGACAATGGATAAGCATTGTGGGATACGTAGCTTTTCCTGCCAGCCTTCCCGTTCTCGAACACAGTCGTTTCAGGAAAATCGTCTACTATTTTCAGTTTCGCGTAGTTGGTATCGCTCATTGGCCGCCATAATAATTTTGCTGTATCTATTGAACAAACTTCTTCTTGTTCTTATTTGCCTTGCCAAAACTCAATTTTGGCACACCCTCCTGTGCTTTTACTGCAGGTATTGCTACAAAGGGCCATATGTGGAAGAAAAAATTTAGTGTTTCGAAACAGCGGGTACCGCGCAATTCAGACTTTTTAAACGGAGAAGGACCCACCGTGCGAGCGACTTTGGGGGCGTGTCAACGCCAGACGTGTAACGGAGCGCGTATGTTCAGCCGTCTCTCGGATCTGGAAGGTCTGACTCCCGGGTACAAAAGCAGCTATATCTCCAGAATGGAGCGGGCTATCCGCACCAAATTTTGAACGAGCACGGCAAAAGGGTAGACATCGCGGAACCCGGTGAAACCAAAAAAATTTCCCGACTTATACTGCTTTGTGTGGACTGTCACATACGGAGTAGTGGGGGTTATAAAATCTGAACATCTTTCCCCAACAACCGGGCCATCTACCGACTGAGGAGACTCACTAACAAGCAAGCAACCAATAATCGGGCAAATGCTTATTGTGTACAAACAAAGCACTACAGTGCAAACCTTCGGCGAACTGCGCACTACACCAACGCAGCTGTCTCGCACTCGAATGCAGTCGTTTCAGCAAAATTGCTCTTTTAGTTTTCAGGCTCGCGTAGTTCTGCAGCCGTTGGTATCGCTCATGTAGTGCGAGAATAGCTGCTGATAGATGGACAGGCACACAGACAGACCACCACACACACAGATGTAACCCTCGCTGCGCTTGCGCGCCGACGGTTAATATTGTTATGCCCAACTGGTTGTTCAATAAGCATCCGCTTATCAATTTGCCCGATTATTGGTTTCTTACTCTATTAGCATCACGTCAACAGTAGACAAGCTACGACTGCTTAAAAACTTGTCAACAACACCCACATTGACTACCCTACTATGACTAAAAGTTGGCCAGATTTCACGTACGAAAAAAGGCATTCCTTTACGGTTTTGAAGTCTGCAACTATAATAATAATGTACAATATACTATGGGAATGTGAAAAGAAAGGCATATTGCACATAAAGTCAGTATTTCCTGTTCAGCAGTGTAGATCAGAGGGTCTTTCTGTGAGGTCCCCTGGCACATGCACACGGCACAGCAACCAGAAGAACCAGCATTATAACCAGGAGAAACCATAGAGGCAGTAGTAGGAGCAAGAGTAGGGAGAGACCAACACTGACACAGGAGATGGTATAGTACGAGGCCAGGGGGCGGAGGTTGAAACGAGGACTGGCGGTGGCAAGGGAGGGAGAGTGAGGAGTAGTGAGGACACGCGTGACTTTGCTCTTTGGTGTACGAGGAATGTCACTATGGGGAGAGAGAGAGTGGGGATGTATACTATGCACACCACACACAGCTTAAATGACTTGTGTGTGCGTAATAACTTATAAAATCCACGTGGTGCGGAATTACGAACAATGCAGAATTGTGCGGCAACTATTGCGCGCAGGTGTAATTCCGGGTACAATATACAGAAAGGAGTGCATGTTTCTATATACGGGTGTACAGTGTGTATAGTGTGTAACTGTTGTTTAGTGAGGGCAGCAGAGGTGAACATGTTTTAAGGAGTACAGGGATTTCAGAGTAAGGAGAATTGTGTGTATTGTTACTGGATAAGTCATTGTGTGCAAGTGAATTGTGTGTCCTTGTGCCATGTACATATAGCATAATGTATGCGAACTCATGATCGCAGGTTCATGTGCTCCATATCACATCTGGCAACGAGGTGGATTGTAGTCCATGGGAAATCCACGAGCTGTGGTAGAGGTGTCACCAGTCCCAGCAACGAGACCTTTAGGTAACAATGCAACGAGACCTTTAGGAAACAATAAGGTGCTGTGACAACTTCCTGAGTTTCGACAGTTCACAGTCTATTTGGAGAGGGTATACAGTGTTCTTCGGTGTCAACAGGAAACTTAACGAAGGCCGTCAACCAAGCGACAGTGATAGAGCAGGCGCAGAACCACACACAAGCAATGAAGGCACAGTCACCTGTGATAGGGAAAGCGGATGTACGTATTACCGTGACCTCAAGGTTGGAGGTTGGAAGTGCGATCGTTGTGGAAGCTCAGGGAACCACGGAAGAAACTTCCAGAGGCATGGATCCCAGTGAACCAGAGCAGCCAGCTGCTTATCAGATGGGAGGTCACAATAGCCAAGATGACCTGATAGGAGTCCCTCAATATGGGTAGTAGACAAAGGAACTGTTACCTGATCTAGGACAAGGTGACAGGGTTGTAGGAAGGTACATTCTTCATCTTATATGCAGCACACTTTGTGTATGCACATGTACAGTGTGTACGCAGCAGAAACAGATGACACCAGTACGTTATTATAGGAGTGAACCTATTGTGGTGTACCAGAGTATCATTGTAGACTCCAGGTATATGCCATTTCCCAGGTGAGGGGAGGCAAAGCTGGAGAATAGCCAACGTGCCATCTCCGTATAATGTTATGACTGTACATTTTTTCACATAAAAGTAGTGTGCTATGCTACCTTGTTCGCAAAACCTTTCTGTGAAGATTTGCGTGGTGTTAGTTACCAGGAACACAATAAGCCCTGAGATAACAGCAAAACATTCTGGGTGAGTGAAGGGAGCAGGTTAGGACCAAAACTAGCTTATTCTTCCTCCAAGAAAAACACATGGATGAATGTTTTGGCTTCGAATTAAAAGCACATAGCATGCAGGAGTTGATACACACCATCTGTTGTAACTTCTTGTGCCTCTAAGGTATATACACATAGAGTAGGCGGATCAAGGCCAGAGTAGCTGTTGACATATAGACACACACACACACACACACACACACACACCACAGACCGAGTACTCGCTGCACATGACCACGGAGCGTTTTACAATCCAACAGCAGCATAAGTACAAATTCAACCCTAAATAGTGGTGGGAATGTGAGTAACCTATGCAACTGTGGGGCTATAGAGGGAGGTGGAGGTTAATGAGGCACAATACATGAATTATGGTAACAAGTATAGCTATACCTGGTACTAGGTGGGTGGGTGAAGGGAGGAGAGAGAGGAGGAGAGAGTAACTGTTTAGCCACACCACTCAAGAAACTATTGCTGACACCAATTGATTGCAGCTGCCTGGCAAACTGGGGGGAAATAACACCAGACAGGTACTAGGCCAAACATGTTTATGCCAATTAACAATGAAAGTTAATGGTATTTAGCATATGTTACCCTAGCAAGGCTGTGCTGCATGCTCATAGAGTATACTTGCCATCATCAAACCTATACGCAACACTGTATCTGTTCTCTAGAACATACATACACAGCAAGGCTCTTAAGGGGGTAGAATACAGGGTGCGCAATCATTCCTTTTACTTTTCCTATCATTACCATACTGTGTAGTTCCTGATTTATACGAAAGGGGAGGGGGGAGAGTCTCATACACCTTCCCCTATGTAAAAAACCTGCACACGTACTGTACAAGTGGATTAGGGCGGGAAAAGAGTGGAGCACAAACGACAGAGGACTGAAGATAGGAAATTCTCATAGCCTCACCCGTTCGTTGAGGTAGAGGGAACAGCTGTGCAGGACTCTGACGAGAGTGGTGTTCTCATATGACCTGACTGGCTGGAGGAGAGGGTCTCCCAGGTATGGCACTTTCAGGTTGGAACTCTTACGTGATCCCTGGATCAGCTACACACACACATAATAATTATGTAGAGTAGAGACTCACATGGTATGTAGACTGGTGTGCATTATATACAAATATTATATTACAATATTACAATATTATATTACAAGATGGCTCTGGTGGTCTGCTGGTTGTAGACGAGTGGGAAGTTTCTATTGGGAATAAGGAAGCCATGAGTGTAACCTTCAACCTGTAACTTTATCACAGTGGCCCTTGGCAAAACCAAAACTTTGCCATCCCTTAAGTCAATATCTAAATGAAACCCTGATTGGGAACCAGCTGGTCTATCAAAACCCAAGCCATGAGTGTGTAACCTTCAACCCTGTAACCTGTAGACTTCAAGCTGTTTAACAAAGTGGCGTACATAGTAAGTGCAAGTATTATAAATTCTCACTTAACTGACAGAATGACACGACAACTACAGTAACCCTCGCTGCGCATGCGTGCCGAGGATTAATAAATCATTAATGAAGTGGAGGGGGTGACCCTTAAATAGCATCTGTCTTAAAGTCATCCTTACATGCATATGCAAGCATGCTATGATGCACACAACGAATGATAAAAGCAAAAAACACACCTGCATCTTTCCTCTGGGGGTTAATTGTGCTGTACCCCTCACATACTCAGGTTCTAATGACTTTGGGGTTTCTGGAAAAGGGGTGTGGCCAGCAGCAGCAGTAGTAGAGTAGGCTAGTCTGAGAGGAGAGAGGGAAGGGGGTGTGGTCTGGTGCCACTGGGGACTGGAGTCAGTTGGTGACAGCTTCGGAGGAGATGAAATCTGAGGGGAGGGGGGAGCAGTGGAGAGAGAGGGAGAGAGGGAAGGATAGGGAGAGAGATGAGAGAGGAAGAGGATAAAGGGGGTGACAGCACACCATTACTCCACTTAAGACTACACAAAGGGATACACTGTATATTGTAAACTAGCATGTGATTATAGCATGCGCAGTGAAAAAAAAACATGCATACAGAAGAGGGTTATACTGACTCCAAACAGCACCACACTTCACTTAGAGTTGAAAAAGTGATTGTAGCACGTACAGATGTTTAATATACTAGCAGACAGCACAGTGAAAACATTAAACTGACTCCAAACATGGTGATGAGGTTGGTCTGAGTTGTCTCCAGAAGAGACTGCAGTTTCCCGAGGTCAGACGTGGGATGAGAAGGAGGAGAAGGAGCAGGAGAAGAACCACCATCAACACTGAACAGTCCTCCTACTGACTTCCACCACCTTTGTGAAAACAACAATGGCTTTTCATGGTGGAAAATGATAAAATATCGTTTAAATTGACAAATGATTATCACTTAGACCATAGTCTACAACAGAGCTCAATTCTGTGAATGAAAGCAAAACGCACAATTGCATGGGTGGCCTGTGCCAGAATGCCTTTAATCAATGGAGCATCGACACACGTATGTAGGAGTACAAGTGAGTGCAATCGCCCCATGCTACACATTCCCCAAGGACGCATTCCACAAGTGGCATTTGGCATTACAAAACGGTCAAAAATATGAATGCTTCTACATAACAGAGGGAGTGATGTAGAACGCACCTGTTGGAGGGGTTGATGACAGGGGAGGTGGGAGTGATGGGAGTGAGGGGGGGAGGAGGAGGGGAGGACTGCTGCTGGGAGAGACATAAGTTTTCAGAGGAGTTGAGACGACTTGACAACATTCCTCGAGCTTCCTGAACCTTTTCCACAAGCAATTGCACCTGGAGCAGTAGAAATGTACAGTGTAGAGGGATGCTACACATACATGTATGTACACACAGTTTGGACAGGTGTATTATCATAATAATTGTAGCACCAGGTGACAAGGAGAGTTGTGTGTATTGTCCGCAGACTTCATCCACAACATGTACACAGCACATTCCATGTTAGCCACATCAACCAACATTGGAGCTAAACAGACATTTGCTATGCTATCACACTAAGCTTTTAAGGTGTCACTAATGCATGTTGTAACATCTTAGTGACCACTTTGGAAGTAAAGATGTTGGCAATTCTGCGTCACACAACGTACAGACACTGTGGTACACTTGGAGAATGAAACAAAGAATGAAGACGCGTGTCCCCTCACAGCAGAGAGAGTGTTGTTGTCCTGGAGGAGAGGCTGGTAGGTGAAGAGAGGACCATCCAACTCCATGAACAGGGCCTTCAGGGAACAGGCGTCCACTGCCGGAGTGTTTCCCGGACTGGAGTAGGAGAGGTCAGAGTCCACCAGAAGACACTCCCCTAGAGGAGGAGCAGTAGGTGCTGGCTAACAAACATGAAATAGAGCTAAAGATAAATCCTCTACAGACAATACTCCAAGAGCATACAAGTCCATAAATCGAAACCCGCTGACTCATAACTTCAAAAACATAACATATATGTCATGTATATACGTGCAGTAAAGTTCAGGAAATCTTGCCTTATTATGTAAAGTCGCGTAATAATTTTCACATATAGGCATAGGGGAAAAACTGAATATTATGTGTTCCTAATGGCCGACAAGCTGTTGGGAACTTGTCATGTGTACACATGTATGTACCGGGGCATAACTGCCTACACATACAATACACTGTAAGAATAATTACCATAATTTATGTAGTCCATCAGTCCAGGCTGAGTAAAAACCTACAGAACACAATATTTCAGGTAAACAACAGTAGGTTTGGCAGCCACGATACCTTAGTAACTCTATAGAGGAGGACTATTCCAGGGTCAGAGGTCAGATCCATCTGGAAGCTCCGCCCAATGATTTCCGTAAGCAGAGTTGAGTAGAATGGAAAGTTGTCCAAAACAAACGCTTTCCTGTACAGATGGGCCATTATTAAGTACGTATGTAAGTGTGTATATACACCACACAGTATACTCCTGTAAGACATTATGGGCATTTGCACGAGAATGTACATTTTGGATCATCACACTAATGTGTTCAACCACTTCTCCTATGTTCGTGTGCGGTTCAGGTGCAACGCTAGTTCACTAGCCCCATTGTGAGACGCGAACCTGCGCTGTATTCATGTATTCATGTAATGGTTTGAAACACGCCAACAAAGTGCATAGCGAAAGTGTTTTGTACTTTTAGTTTATACAAATCCACGTGTAAAAGATTGTTGTAGTGCATGTGAAACTCTACTGTTTTTGGTTAAGACTCACTGAAAAAAAACCCGCTATGAACCGGTGAGATGTGACAACAACAAGGTGAGGTAGGAATGCAAACTATACCAGGAAAACTCTTTCCAAAAAAGGAAAAGCTGCCTTGGGTGGGATTCGAACTCATAACACTCTAGGCGAGCGCTCTACCGACTGAGCCACCAGGGCAACACAGCTGGTTGGGGTTAACATCTTCAAAACAACACAACATGAAGGCAATCCTGCTTATATAAGTATGCAACTGGTCGACATTACCATCTCCTGGGGAGAGACTCAAGACTCTCTTTATTCTCAGAGGACGGCCTCAGAGGGTCAGTGTACCTCCATGGCTGGATGTACGTCAGCCAGAGCTCTAGGACCTGTACAAAAATCATATTTCTAAACTGAAAGAAAGAATTCTTGCAAAATAGGAAATTCAGGCAAAGGTCTGTTTTGGTGTCCTTTAAAAACAATGGGTGTCCAGTAATGCCACAATATTAGAGGAGTAGCCTAAAACGTCCCTCCATACATTAGCCAATGAATTTTTCTTTGCTTCTGCTTCACAGAATCTATTGCAACAGAACTTAGCTCTTTCCGTGGAGAATAGACGGACAGGAAAAGCTGACTTTAGTGGCTTATTGGTATTGTAACTGGAATCATAGCAGGGAACATGAAAACTTGATCCCCAAAACCCCTTAATCACAACAAGCAAACCTACGTATCCTATATATGTAGACATTACATCAGCCTTACTCACTCACACACACTTTTCTCATTCTCCGCCCATTAATACACATAACTGTTACACTGCATGATACACATACATACATACATACGTACATATCTGAAGGTGTTGTCCAGAGGCAAATGTCTGAAAGAGTATCGCAAGAAATAGTACAACCTCTTGTGGATGAAAGTTGGAATGATGCTCCTGTAGAAATAGCACAGTAATCTACTGATAGATAATTATGACACTGCATTCTAACAATAACAGAATGGAAAAGGCAAATATTGAAGATGTCAAGACTCAACAACTGAACGGCAATTTTCACACATGCATATACAGTAGGAGTCAAAAAACGTTTCCAGTTTCGTTCCGTTTCTTTCCGTTTGCCGTTCACTATCGTTCCGTTCCGTTTCTTTCCGTTTGCCGTTCACTATCGTTCCGTTCCGTTTCTTTCCGTTTGCCGTTCACTATCGTTCCGTTCCGTTTCCGTTCAGTTGTGAATTTCGCGTGCCACGCCCTCCGCAAACACGGTAAGACTCGCTAGCGGGGGAGCGAAACAAGGTTTTTTCGTAGCGCAAACGCGAAACAACGACAATGCAGTACCCACGTAGGTGCTAGAAGAAATATCTTCACAGTGAGGCCTTCGCATCTCGCGAATTACGACCATCGCGCGAACGCATGTACGGCAACGATTCTAAACGGAACGGAACGAATTCCAACGGTAAATGAACGGCGTTTCAGAAGGGAACGGAAGCTCAACGAAACGGAACGAAATTGGAAACCTGTTTTTTTGACCCCTACTGTACATGCTTGTGGTTGTATATACATCATCCACACATGTAGTCTTTTTACCAATAGACCATGTGATGAACATTGCGACACAAGTCTGCAGCAGCATGTCTACATTGCACGTACTACATACATATGTATGTACATGTACCTCCGGAAGTCGTCAGTGAGGGGGTTGAGAAAATTGTAGGGAGAGCCCGAGGCAGAACCATTGGTGAAGTAGTGGACATGTCTGACAAGTCGACGCGTGAGGAGGAGGTGCTCTTCATTTGGAACAAACCGATTCTGAAGTAGACAAAAACAGATGAAACTGTTGGGAATTAACTTCCGGTCAGGTAATAATGTCCCCACCGGCCATGTCATGTTAGTCCCACGCTTCAAGCCTGACGTGCTAGTACGCCAGTGATCACCTTGTATTTAACCCAAGATTTCTTGGTTGTCTTCATGCAGTTGTTAAACGTGAAGGCCAATCAGATCACACACACCTTACTGTCCCATTAGGTTAATGTGAGGATGTATCCAAATGAAGGAGAGCAAACTAATTACTAAAACGTCGTGATACATAATATCTTCACGTACATGTTCAGACAAAGGGGGGCTCCTGCTTAAATATCATACGCTGTGCGCGATCGCTGTCACACTCGCTCACTTTCTACGCGCAAGCCCGAGAAATATAGGGTACTGCCACTGATATGTATGAACGTAGCACAATATACACAACCAAGACGTTTGATACACCAGACCATTATCTGCTCTCAGGCGGACAGTAAGGCTCTGCATGGCACACACACACACGCACACACACACACACACATTAATGTACCTATACTTACCTGTGCCTGGGCAAGGATATCTCCATGGCGTCCATTATACTTGTTCTGGTTGAGCCAGAATTCCACCAGAACTTGTACCAAGACCTCCGCCTGTACTAATGGAGCTTCCCTCTCTTCTGCATGGGCCTCGGTGCCTCCTCCAGCCCTGAGTTCTCCAGGATGGCAGGATATATAACCTGGTGAATATAAAATACACACATGTATTGGTTCATAAAAGTGAAATTCCGGGTGAATATTGCATGCATATGTACTTAGAACAAAAATGAAAAGCACTAAAGTGCAAACCCTCGGCAAACTGCGCATGAGCGATACGTCTAATTGATGGGCTGGGCTATTTGTATGTTTACTCGTGGTCTCCACACTAGTATGTAGCTCGCGGAGAGTCTGACACGGGCTAGTTAACCCTCGGCGCGCATGCGCAGCGAGGGTTACAGTAGTTGGGTCTGTCTGTCTGTGTGTCTGTTACTCTTCATCTCACTTCTCGATTCGTCTCACAAAGGATACCACCTACTGAACGGGCAATGAAGGTCAGAAATTACTAACGGTTTTCTCTGAAAACGCTCCGTTGCAAAGCTAGAGCGCTTCCACCATTGCACAGCTAATGCGTAGTCGGCCATTTTTATCGCTGCGGAAAATGCGCATGCGCTTATATTTAGCAGACCGGGTCTGCTTGCTCGTGTATTTTGAAGGCACAAGAAGTCACAATGAAGGGCGTGTATCGACTCTCGCATGCTAATCTACTACTGTAGCTAGCCCGTGTCAGACTCTCTGCGAGCTATATACTAGCTGGAGATAGCGAGTAAACGCATACTAATATACCACGCATGCGCAGTTCGCCGAGGGTTTGCACCTCAGTGCTTTTCATTACAGTACTAGATAGCATGCGGGAGTCGATACATGCCATTCGTTGTGACTTCCTGAGCCCCCAAGGTACAAAGAGCAAGGGGACGCAGTCGAGGTAAGCCTGAGCTATAATTTGCATATTGGCTTGTTCACTTGCTTTTCACGCCATAACTTTTGAACACAGTAGTTATACGAAAATTGCCTTTTTTCAAAACGAAGCCAGTGTAGCGATAAACCCGTTGGTATCGCTATTTTGTTATCTCGTTGCGCGTAGTCGCAGAAAACGCGGTAACAGACAGACGGACAGACACACTTACAAACCAAGTACCGTAACTCTCGCTGCGCATGCGCGCCAAGGGTTAATAACTCCTTCTACTAGTACACAGCACAACCATACCAGCCACACCTCCAAACCACACCAAACAACTAATTGGGCACTTCATAATTTTATCCCGACACACTGCATTTAGACATCAATACAAACTCACCTCCTCCAGGAATACAGATGCAGTTCAACAATAAACATTGTTCATACATACACTGTACCTGGAGGGGTATACCCATGGTGATGGGGTGAACCCTGTTGTTTTGAGGTCATCATCAGAGCTGGAGGGAGTGTCCCCAGAGGTGGGAGGAAGTGGTTGAGGTAGACGTCCAGGAGATGGGAGTAGATACAGTCTTGAAGTGGAGTGGCAGTTGGGGCAGGCTATGGATAAACACGACGACAGAGTGACTTTTCCTCGTACAACATAAAGAGAATTATGTGTCTGTGACTGGTTAAGTGTTAAGGTTGTTGAGACTGCACACACCTTAACACTTAACCAGTCACGGACACATAAAAGTGTCCAGAGCCTCCATAAGTCCATAAGAATTTATATGACTAGGCGCTAATACTTTATACATCAATTTATGCTTCTTTAATTAAAACACTTTGCGCGCCGCGTAGTATTGTGGAAATTTCTCCGCGTATGCGGAATTACGCATGCGTGGAATAAAGCGGCGCGTGGCGCCCATAGTGTTAAGCAGATATCCAAAGGGTTAAAGCTCACGTGATTTTAAATACGCGTAAACACACAAATAAAATATTGAATTGCTCGCTTTGCTTGCAGAAATGTGTCGCATCCTTTCGGATCCTTTCTAGTAGAACACATTATTCTTGTACAAGAATGTACTGTGCACTTAAACACATGTGGACAGTTTGTTTCTTTAGGTCCCACACACATACAGTGTTCATTACGCATTTGACAGCATGCAAACATGAAGAGAAACGTGTGGTCACCTCTTCGGTTAGTACACACTTACAAATGCAACTTGTACATTAACAAACAGAGCTTACACATATTATATAGTTACTACCTGAGGTTTGGTCTGCTGAAAAATTAAGTAGTAAGCAAAATGAAAGATGTAATATTCAAATGCCGCTGAAATTCACGTGATTAAGGAAGAAAGTTTGCATTATTACGCAAACTACGGTATCACCCATGATAATATGTAGATATAACGCTAATAATCTGGCATCGTTATAGCAGCTGGTGCAACCGCAGCAATCTATACATACAGTACATGTAAGTCTGTTTTAAACGGGCCATCAGATCTCCAAGCAATAACGTCATTCGTGGCTGCATAACTGTAATACATGTACTAGTACCAGAGTGTAATGTTGCCTGTGTAAAGCTGGATTATGAATGGAGGATACTGAGATGGAGTTTGGTGGGTGAGATATGATCAACTTTGTCGTGATAGAGATGAGGAACATGACCCTCAGTCAGAGACAGCTGCGTGGGGGTCTGCAGAGGAGAGAGAGGGGGGGAGGAGGGAGAGAGAGAGAGAGAGAGAGGGGGGGAGGTAAGGAGGGAGGGAGGGAGGGAGAGAGAGAAATGAAGACGTTCCACTCTCGCAATGAAACAAGGTGAACAAACAGGGTCGAATGCAATGACAGGCTTGCATACTGTGTTTGCTTCTTCAAAAGACATTCTATTTGTAAATAAGCAGCAAGGTGCTCACAGGGAGGCAGGATATAGGGAATTCGTAGAGAGAGTTGGTTGACTCCAGTTTCCCCATCAAGCGGAAGATGTGACCGTCAGGAGAGAAGAAATTCAGCAACTACAATGTACACAACACAATGGTTAGCAACGACATTAGATATTAGTGTGTTATGAAAAAGAAAAACGTTATGAATGCAAAAGAGGCATGTTAGGCATGTGTTAAAAAAATATACGCCCATTAAAAAAACTACTATGTAGAGAAAGTGCTAGTTGGGGGATGAAGAGCCTTTTTCTTCACACAAAAGCAAAGACTCAGCAGTGTGTTTTCAGAAAGAGAACTTCACTTCCCGTGAATGACGGCCCTCATGCAAACACACACACACTGCAATACCAAACCCCAACGCAAAATGAACAGTATTTTATGAGCTCAACAAGACGGAACTAAACAATGACATTAATGGGAATGTGGCAGTATGTAACGGCTAAATTTTGAAAATGGAAACTTAATTGCACTCTTGCACTGGTCCCTGTTGTTTAGTTCCATCTTTAGTAACATTTCTAAATTTAGTCCCTATGTACCGACACACTCATTATAAATTTACTCCTCTTGTGTGAGTTGCCCTGGTAGCTCAGATAGTAGAGCGCTCGCCTAGACTGCAGAGTGTCATGGGGTTCGAATCCCACCCAGGGCAGCTCTTCTTTATTCCTTGGATTAAAATAAAACTGCCTGGGTGTAGTTGACTTGTTTGCCTTGCCTTTCTACCTCGTTACCAAGTTGTTAAGACATACAGTGGGGAAGTCAGAGTGTAGCTTGGCATTGAAGCCACGGAGCTGCCAGCCCTGGCTGTGGTCGTAGCCAAAGACATTGGCCAACAGGTGAGGGAAGAACTCGTGCAGATCCTGCAGCAATACACATACACCACGTAAACCAACTGGTGTGACTCAAGTGAAGATTGATTGCATTTTGTCTTTAAGAACATTACCTAGAGTTTATCAAGTCGTACCCAACACAACCAGTTTTACCTAAAACGCACTTCATTTGATGCCACAACAAATTCTGAATTACACGATACATACATACACATATAAAGGTTACAAGCTAAAGCTGTACATATGAACATAACCAACAGTATGGACATGGTTTCTGCAGCTCTCTCGCTACCGCTTGTTAAACTCATTGACACAACTTTTGGTCAACGTTGCAGTGCAGCCGTGCGATTCTAGCACATTTAGTGGTGTGAGGTTGGTTTGTGTGTATATTTCTGTCCATCTATCTTTAACCACTCACAAAACACCCAAAAGCAACACAGATAATATATTTTGCTTCGTAATTCTTAGACAAGAGGGAGTATTAAAAAATCAATCCTAGCCAGGCAGTCATGCCCATGCATTTCATACTTATAAGTCAAGCAAGTATTGGAGATAGGAGATTACTTTAGACAGCCACCTTGAGCGGCAGAAGGTCAATGCATGACTGGATGTGGCTACACCGCGCTGTGAACCGAGGATTGCTCAGACCAGAGTACGGATTCAACTGCAGGGAACACATTCATCATAGCTGGCCGATCCGAGAGTCTGCCCTCCCTTACGTGTGTAGGAGAGGTAGCTTTCCCCTGCAGAGCAGCTAACATCACGCTGCACTCATCTGTCTTCAAGTAGCAGATGAAATTATGAAGAACAAGAGCACACGACTTTCCATGCGCTCTAATTAGAGTTTGTAAACGAAAACTACTGCGCATGCGTCATTGTTGGGGGCGTTGGTCGGCACTCGTGACCCCAGGATCTAGGAGGCGATCACACATCGGCAGTGTTCCCTGACCCTGGTCTTCTTGGAGGTTGACGGACTTTCAGACTCCGTGGAAGAGTGGAATAGTGTGATGTCTGAGACACAGCCACTAGTGGGTAAGTTAAGTGCAACTGCCTTTTCCCTTGATTTATCTCTCCACTAGGAATTCACTAACTGAGTGGGATATATATCCCCCGAGTGATTTAGGTGGAAGTAGTTACAATAGCAAGCTATCATCTATACTGCTGCAAGTGTGTACCTTTATCTCAGTAGTTGCAGTAGCTATGTACTACTGCATACACATGTGCACTCTATACTTGGTGTGCTATTGCCTTTTGTAGGGGTGTGGCAGTGTAGCGTACCACATGTCAGTATGACTATGACACAGTTCTCAATAGCTTGACATTGCTAAAAAGTCTCCCCTTTGATGGCTACAAGATTCTAATAGAGACCTGGGTTTTCGACTCGCTCATTCCCATCAGTACTGTGTGTGTGACTGTGTACACTGAAACTAGGCATGTAGGTTTTAGTCCAATGTATAAAGCTATGGGCCCATGAGGGGCAGTTGGAAAATGTAGCTGACAAAGATCCTTATGTACATGTACCAATGTCTATAATTCTGTGTACAGTCCGAAATGCCTAGTATTGGTGTGCATGGTCACATACTAAGGCCTATTGTCCCTGCCATACACGGGTGGCTATAATCCTAAGATATTATTTTAGTTGTCGGTGTTGCAGTGGGGCTCTGTAGTTGCTGTATGTCATCTGTAAATGATTTGTGTTCCTATTGGTTTGTCTGCTCGGTGCCACAGGAGGCAAGGGGACTACCTACTCGGCAGCCCCACCCCCCTATGCCCCGCCCCCTCAGCAGGCCCCCTATCCCGCAGCTCCTACCACCACTGTCATCACTCAGCCTCCGGTCATTGTCCAACAACAGGTACTAACATATGGTTGGGAATTTGTAACCTGTGTAATTAATAATGTGTGTGTGTAAGATCATTTACTATTTCAGCATCAGCTATCTCATACAGTAATGTATGTATGTGTTAATCCAGTTCACGACAGCACTATATAGAGGGTGTTTGCTAGCATTGGGACAATGCATTGAACTGACAGAGTATATATAGATTCCAAGGCTAGGGGTGTGCTTCAGGGTGCTCATGATGCGATGGCTTTTTATGTGCATTACTTCTTCGCCATTGATACCATTGTATGGGGCTTCCTGACAATAGTACACCATTACTGCTCACAAGGGCTGGAATAAGTAAAGCAAATTCTCCGTTGTCGGGCCCAGGGAATGTGCCTTGGAATTATAGTTTCTTTCGAGGGTCTACCCTAAAATACCGATATGCACATGTACCCCAACCCCACCCTCAGAAAAGTGTGAGTGCATAGTACTCACCCCTTGGATAGTATTGTGGGTTGGTTGTTATCCGGAGAATTGGTGCATGTGAACAGCATCACAAAGCAAAGACAAGAAACACGACAGTTCTAAAACTAGACCTGCCCTTTAGCGGGATTCAGACCAACGACACTCTGCAGTGTGGTGTGCACTATGTATAAACCAGGCCCTCTTTTCTTAGAACGAGGACCGAAGATTAGGCTATGTGCATCCTGTGGCATATCATAGCATAGAGTCGCTAGACATAGGAATTAAGGACTTGACATTAATTGTGTGTAACATGCAATTGGAGAGCAAGTGAGCCTATATACATGTCAGTTGATTTTTTTTTCTGTAGACTGATATCTCTGCCCATGAATATTGTGCATGCACAAACATCATATACAGTAGACTGACTTGCTTCAAACCCTGCTGCATTAATGTATTTTACCAGGTGGTGTTTGGACCCACTCCAGTCACCGTTATTTGCCCCAACGGTCACGAGGTCACCACCAATGTCTCCTACAAGAGCGGGAGCTTCACGTTCATCGTGGCTGCCCTCATCTGTTTCTTCCTGGGCCCCTGCTGTGCCCTCATTCCGTTCTGTCTCGACGGCATGAAGGATGTGGAGCACACGTGCCCCGTCGACGGCACTGTACTAGGAGTGTTCAAGAGATCTCTGTAGAACTGTTTCCCCACGCTGACAGACCCAATTTTATACCATGTACTAAGAGAATAGGAGTATAATTTTGTGTGCGTTTGTATATATACTGTTTTGTTTGAGATAATGCATCTTTGGTGCAACCAATCACCATTGCAAGTCAACGCGCGTATTACTACGCCAAAGCGTGCGCATGCGCGATGAGTTGTGGTCTAACCGACCATCTACCGTCCGTACGGCCGTAGCGTCGATCGTCGAGACTGGGATAGGAGGCCGTTATAAAAATGGACCAGCCTGTTGCAGGTCAGGTTTTTTAGCATGTTATATAATTTTATAATATATAGCTAATCTAGCCTAGTACATGTTTTGTAGGTCAAGCAATCGCTGACGTCGCGTCCAGCGATCTCCCAACGGGACGGGCGAAAATGCGAGAGAACTAAATTGTCCCTAACGAAATTATACACTAGCTTGAGCTTTTGGCTGATAATCACCAGAGTAAAGAGCTGGCCCGTAGAATTAACCGTCGTGTGGGCGTCCATCTTTTAGTCAGAGCAGTCAGAGAAAAACGCATGCACACCAGCGTCAAACCACATGGTGAACCACTTGCTATGCCTAAGAAAGAGCTCATGCCTCTGGAATTTAGCACTGGATTTTAGCACGAAAGTTATGAGCTACTGTCTGTGAGCGTCCAATACTTTCTCTCAGAGAAATAGGCACACCATAGCTTCAACCCCTGCCTATGCCTCTGTAACTCTACCAGACATAGCTAGTTGAATGAGGCTATAATTATTTTAAACACCAGCAGACCTGAAGGGGTACTACCCTGCCCCACCAGCGTACACTCCAACTCCCCAGCAGACACCCCCACCAACAGGGAGCTACCCTCCTCCTACACCTGCTACTGTCGTGGTCCAACCTGTGGTTGTCCAACAGCAGGTGAGAGCAATAACAGGCTCCCATAATCGTGGATACTATATATATACCACAGTAGCACTTAGTGTGTGGGATGGACATAGCACCTTATACCATAGGGAGTTTTTAGTATGTCATAATGTCTTCATAACTACCTTTAGTCTCTGCTCCCCATTTGTCATGAATCTCATCTCAGCAGTAGGGGGGAGGACAGGTCTGACTAAGTATGCATATAGAATGTGTGTTGATGTTTACACAGTTCAGTGAAAGGTTCAGTGGCATGTGAATTTCGCTTTGCACTGCATTGCATTTTCTGTTCCAGGTTGTGTTTGGACCAGCTCCAGTTGTCACCACTTGCCCCGAGGGCCACCAAGTAACAACCAACATTTACTACAAGAACGGAGACACGACATTTGTCCTGGCTGCCGTTCTCTGTTTCTTCCTTGGTCCCATAGCTGCTGTTGTCCCGTTCTTCATTGATAGTATGAAGGACGTCGAGCACAGGTGTCCCATCGACGGGATAGTACTTGGACTCTACAAGAGGAATCTCTTCTGAAACGATCATACCAAATGTACTGCAGTGTTCTCATTAGTATGAGGAACAGAACAATATTATGTTGCTTGTTTACTGTTGTTGGCTTTTCCTGGTGTAGCTATCAGTAAATGAATAAAATTATATATGCACGTTTTGCCCACAGCTGGTTATGAATAATTAACGTATTATACTCAAAATAAAATCCATCATATCAGAGATTCCAACCCCTTTTGCAATATAATATTGTGTCACATCTTACGGCAGTGGAAGTGGAAGAACAAGAAGAAAAGACTATTGCCAACATTTGAAATGCTGTTGCAAACTAGTGTCATCCTGTGAATTAATTTGTGTGTATATATACCTTGCCCAGATAAACATTATCAGAATGCTCAAAAATACAGTATCCCTCGCTAAAGCACCAAACATGTATATGATTGTACAGACCGTTTGAATGGTACGTATATGCTCACAATGCTGACAGGAGACAAACGTAATGTTTACTTTAGGTTTTTTTTCTCGGTTTACTGCTATTCACTCTCTACAATCATGAAGAGAATGTGCAGCCCACAACTATACAGTTAGCTATAATATACAGTGACACAACATCCAAGGTATTGTCAGCGAGGTAAGCTACATTAGCAAACCTATCAGAGTTTTAGCTAGTCTTACATAATCATTAAACAGCTATAATAAAATGCCTGTAAAAAGGGTTGCCAGAGTTGTGCAGGCAGAGCTACTGAACTGCAGCATTATGCATGTATTCATCTTTACTCTATCAGGTTTGAGTCAAGTAATGCACCCAGGCAATAGCCTAGACGACACACAATATTACTGTAATGGCGACAAGTGGTAAGAAATGACGAACGCCAATCACTTTTGACAGTGATGTACGGTGCTAGAGAACCAGTAAGAAAGACAAACGATTGCGATCAGTTTGACAAACAAAAGAGATAAACTAACTATCCTTAATACTTTTACTACAGTTGGACTATGGAATGATATCTTCTATCTTGCAGCACTTAACCCATCTCTCCCCAATTTTGCTATCCCTCTTAAATACAGTTGTCAACGATTTTGCATTTGTTAAGGCACAAGGGTGGAAAAAAGACAAACCGACTACCCTCAATACTTTAACTACAGTTGGAGTACGGAATGGTAACATTTTCTATCTTGCAGCACTTATGCCTATTTCGCCCAAATTTCGCCATCCCCCCATATAACGCTGTCAGCAATTTGTCTTTTTTGTTGGCACAAGTTTGGAAAAGAAAACAACCAACTATCCTCAACCCTATGACCACAGTTGGAGTACCATCTTCTATCTTGCAGCACTTATCTCTATCTCTACCCAATGTTTGCTATCCCACCGCCCCTATAATTATATATGTGTCAATGATTTTGTTTAGGCACAAGGGTGGAAAAACAGAGAGTACGGAATGGTAACATCTACTATCTTGCTCTAAATACTTATCCCTATCTAGCTCAAATTTTTGCTATACCCCCTAAATATTATAAGTGTCAACGATTTTGCATTTTGTGTAGGCTCAAGTGTGGAAAAAGGGACAAACCAACTATCCCTAATGCTTTAACCACGGTTGGAGTATGGAATGGTAACATCTTCTATGTTGCTGCACTAATCCCTATCTCGCCCAAACTTCGCCATCCTCCTAAATAAGGGTGTCGACAATTTTGCATTTTTCGTAGGCACAAGTGTGGAAAAAGAGACAAACCCACTATCCTTAATACTTTTAATACAGTTAGAGTATGGAATGGTAACATCTTCTATCTTGCAGAAATTATCCATATCTCTCCCCAATTTTGCTATCCCCCCTAAATACAGTTGTCAACGATTTTGCATTTGTTAAGGCACAAGGGTGGAAAAAAGACAAACCGACTAGCTACCCTCAATACTTTAACTACAGTTGGAGTACGGAATGGTAACATTTTCTATCTTGCAGCACTTATGCCTATTTCGCCCAAATTTCGCCATCCCCCCATGATTATAACGCTGTCAGCAATTTGCTTTTTTTGTTGGCACAAGTTTGGAAAAGAAAACAAACCAACTATCCTTAACCCTATGACCACAGTTGAAGTACCATATTCTATCTTGCAGCACTTACCCTATCTCTACCCAATGTTTGCTATCCCCCCGCCCCTAAATATAGGTGTCAACGATTTTGTTTAGGCACAAGGGTGGAAAAACAGAGAGTACAGAATGGTAACATCTACTATCTTTCTCTATATTATACTTATCCCTATCTCGCTCAAATTTTTGCTATACCCCCTAAATATTATAGGTGTCAACGATTTTGCATTTTGTTTAGGCTCAAGTGTGGAAAAAGAGACAAACCAACTATCCCTAATGTTTTAACTACGGTTGGAGTATGGAATGGTAATAATAATAATATTCAGGTGGCTGCCCTCACCTCCCAGACACCTCAACTCACCCCTTCCACCAGCGACACCCTGCAGCTCCCCAGACGCAATCTGAGACTGGGTCTGTTGTACGCTGGGATGTGGGAGTATGGAATGGTAACATATGTTGCTGCACTAATCCCTATCTCGCCCAAACTTCGCCATCCTCCTAAATAAGGGTGTCGACAATATTGCATTTTTTGTAGGCACAAGTGTGGAAAAAGAGACATACCAACTATCCTTAATACTTTACTACAGTTGGAGTATGGAATGGTAACATCTTCTATCTTGCAGCAATTATCCCTATCTCTCCCCAATTTTGCTATCCACACTAAATATATGTGTCAACGATTTTGCATTTTTTTGTAAGCACAAGGGTTGAAAAAGAGACAAACCGACTATCCTTTATACTTTGACTACAGTTGGAGTAGGGAAGAGTAACATTTTTATCTTGCAGCGCTTATTCCCATCTCGCCCAAATTTCGCCATCCCCCTAAATAAGGGTGTCAACAATTTAGCTATTTAACCCAACTACCCCTAATACTTTAACTACAGTTGGTGTATGGAATGTTAACATCTTTTATGTTGCTGCACTCATCCCTATCTCACCCAAATTTCGCTATCCCCCCGAAATAATGGTGTGGACAATTTTGCATTTTTCGTTGGCACAAGTGTGGAAAAAGAGACAAACCAACTATCCTTAATACTTTTACCACAGTGGGAGTATGGAATGGTAACATCTTCAATCTTGCAGCACTTATCCCTATCTCTCCTCAATTTCGCTATCCAAATAGGTATCAATCATTTTGCATTCTTTAAGCGCAAGGGTGGAAAAAGAGACAAACAAACTATCCCTAATGGTTTAACTACGTTTGGAGTAATAATAATAATAATAATACTCAGGTGGCTGCCATAGCACTAGGGCCATAGACCACGCACCCAGAGCAATGGGCGGAACCGTTAACAAACGAACATACACCATATGAACATGCGGTGTCTGTCTCACCTCCCAGACACCTCAACTCACCCCTTCCACCAGCGACACCCTGCAGCTCCCCAGACGCAATCTGAGACTGGGTCTGTTGTACGCTGGGATTATCGCCATATAACCTAACCTTTCTTAGCTCCCAAACATCCGAAATAAAACCTTTAACAAGGCGAAGCAAAGAACCAAATTTATCCTCCCACAGCTCACTACCCAATATAAAGGATGCTTTCCTGAAACTATCAAGCGACTGGAAATGCTCAAACCCATCATCGCCAAGCTTCTCCTGCAGGGCAACTAAGAAATTTCACCTAAGACTACTATATGCTGGACACTCCCACAACACATGACTCACACTTTCACACTCATCATCACACAACAGGCACTCCTTCATCCCCTCCCTCCCCCCTATGCCTACCGAGTTCCTTATTTAGCCCATTCGTGCCTGACCTGAACTTAAACATTAATCTAGACCCAGCATCACTTTTCCGATGCAAGTACTTCTTGAACTCTGCCACCTTGTTAAATGTCTTATACAATAACAGCTTTACTTTGGTATTAAGCCCCTCTTCAAACTTTCTAATCTCCCTCTCATTAATACTTTCCCTTATTATAGACAGAAAGCCCTTCAAGGAGCAATCCCCATTTTGAATATCATGCGACCACTTTGCCTTGTCAAGACCTAATGACGAAAAGAGATC